GTGTGAAAGTTAAGGTAATGACCCTATCATAACTTCTCCTTTATTTTTCCCTTCTATCATATGAGATACATATCATATGGAGCACCCTTGAGGTTGTTCTACATGCTAAGGGTGTAGAATAATGGGTTGGAGAGTGGTTCTATGTCAAAAAACGGACATAGAGGCCAAACCGACAAGTTCACCGGAAAATAACCTTTTAAGGGTTATGTGTATTGATTAAGGTTTTATGATGTTAAAACCTTGTTAGGAACTTGATTTAGAGTATATTTGAGCTTCGCCGGAGTTTCGCCGGAGTTGGTCAAAGTTGGCCGGAGTTGGTCAAAGTTCACCAGAAATAGTCAAAGTTCAACCGCGGGGCGTAGAACACGCTTAAGCTCACTTAAGGTGAGGATGACCGACTATATTGCTTATAATTATTGGGTTAATTTCATAAGATTACCTAAATGAATTATATGTGTTTGGCATGATTTATTTATAATAAAACAAAATGCCTAAATGAGATTATTATTGTTTATAAGTAAAAGTGCATAATATACAAATTTATGAATAAATTGTGTATGATTATGTATTATGAATACAATGGTATAATAGTGTGTAAACTATAAATGAATTGTGATAAATGTACTTTTACCTCATGTAAGGAAGTCATGGAAGGATAAAAGTGATATTTTGATATTAGAACCAAGTTATACTTGAATGTGGAATTAAATTGAAATAGCCAAATTACTATGAAATTGCATTGGCTTATTAAGGTTAAATGACTAGTATAGAAATAATAGCCGGGAATGTTAGCATGAAAAGTGATAGAACAAATCCTAGGGGTTTGGATTGTGAAAGATGTACCTTAAGTAGTCATACGAAATGTCTTAAGGTAGAAATGAGTAAATGCTAAGTTACCGTAGGAGTGGACCTTAAAGGTTACTCATAGTAGAGGAACTCTAGGCATAGAGTTTGCTTAGTGAATTAGTATCGTGACTAGAGGAAGCCTCGAGCACGATGAAGAATGACTGGAGGAAGCCTCCAGCATTCGTGTAGGACGACTAGAGGAAGCCTCTAGCGTAACGTAATGTGACTGGAGGAAGCCTCCAGCACAACGTATGTAAGGTGATTAGAGGAAGCCTCTAACACCAAGTGGAGTGACTAGAGTCAGCCTCTAGCACGACAAAACATGACTAGAGGAAGCCTCTAGCATGGTAAACTAATATAGATGGGTGTGGCTTGAAGTCACGGGGAAAGGGTTAAATGTTTTCAAAGTAAACATGGGCCTTCGGACGACTACTTGACTTTATATATATAAAGTAAGTATACTTTCAAAAGAGGGTAACCACGGGTTATGACCTATAATATAATAACATCCTAGATTGAGGGTCTTGGAAATTGAAACTTTGATTATACTTAGTATAGTTGTCATTGTACTTGTCAAATGCTTCCAAGTACTGACCTCCCCTTCACGGGGGAGGCCACCTCACAGTTTCAGGTAGAACTTGAAGGTTGCTACCATCACCGTTGCTTCGGGTGGATTATCAAGGAGAGGAGACGTGGTTCGTGCTTCCTCCGTTTCTGTTTTAAACATTTAAATTAATGCTCATGGATACTATTTTCCGAATAATTATTTAGGGCTTGCACGCCCGTGTTTGCCACGTGTGGCTCGAATGCTTGTATTAATATTTCCGCTGCTTAATTAAATGATTTACATTATGATTGTTTATGGATGTACTAATGTGAATGGTATTCAAGACGCCTTGTATAGTATGGATGAGTTGGACTGCGGTTGACTATTCGTACTGTACGGCGGGTTGTTGACGTGTCCGGGAAGGTCCGGGGCGTGACAATTTAATTGGTATCAGAGCCTTAGTCCGTAAACTTCATAATGAAGCTTCAAAATCCCTTTTGAAAATGATTTTGAAAACCATGAGCATAAAAGTTTTGCACTTATAGAACTTTTGGTACTTGAGTTGCAAAGTCTCTAATTGTTAATATGGTACCCTTAACAATTGGTATGACGGTGATTTGAGCCAAAGGATGTCTTTAAGTGCCTATCCGTCACTTGACATTTGATACGGGTCTAATGACTCATTCTCTATCTCTTTCAGAAATGGAACGCACCGGTAAAGTCACCCGACGAAACCCGACTGGCCAGGCGCCGGGAAGGTCCCAACATGGCAGCCGAGGGGCATCGAGGGTGTCTCGGGGGCAGGGCCGTGCAGGCCACTCGCTGACCGTTAGTGACGGTCATGTTGAAACAATTGACGAGCATTATGAGTCCGAGGAGGATTCAACGTACCGACCGGGAACGGAGCCGGTTGAAACCCCATATGATGGGGAAGATGATGACATTAGCGAGGGGAGCGACGATAACGACGCTCTAGAAAGGATTGAGGAATTGCTCCGGCAATACCATCAAGATCGCCAAAGGCGCCAGGCAAGGCGTGCTTCGAGAGGGGCTTCGAGGAGAGGGAGCAGTGTGAGTCCTAGGGGACGCATAGAACCCCAAGGAGGGCGAGGTGCCGAGGTTCCTATCATAAGAATCTCGAAGTACCTAAAGGAGGCGAGAGACTTGGGATGTAAACCGTTTGATGGAACGGGAGACATCTTCGTGGCGGCCGAGTGGATCAAGAGATTCAATGAAGCGGCCCTGGATATGCAGCTGCCACCAAACATGAAGTTGAGAGTGGCCACAAGACTACTAGAAGGCATGGCGTCCACATGGTGGGACGGAGCTAAAGGGAAGTACGGCGAGGCCGTCACCTGGGAGAATTTCCGGCAAGAATTCTTTAGCCAATACTACTCCGACTTTGAAGTGAATTTAAAGAGGAGGGAGTACACAACCTTAACCCAAGGAGGTGAGTGCACGGTGAAGGAGCTTGAGCACAAGTTCAGAAAACTTGCTGAGTTCATACCGGAATACATTTGTGATGAGAACCGGATGGTGAACCACTTCTGGAACGCCTTGGACCTTGATATACGTGAGAGGGCAACACAATTGCCTAATATGACGTTTAGCCAAGTGGTCGAACAAGGCTTGAAGGGGGAGAAGGAATAGGAGGAAAGGAAGCGAAGAAATGCCGAGGAGGCAAAGAAAAGAAAATGGGAGAACCATGGCCCCCAGGGTTCAAACAAGAAGGGGAATCACGGGGGAGGAGGATCCTTCAGGGCACCCGCACCACCATCAAGGGGGAATCCCAACATGAGTGGGCAGAACTCGGGGTCACAAGCCCCGACGAAGCCTAAGTGCAGGAATTGCAAGAGAAATCACGAGGGCAAATGTCGTGATCCCCCACGGTGCTACCAATGCGGATATACGGGGCACATAAAGCCCAATTGCCCTCAACTTGGTGGGAACCGGTCATCAAGGCCAAGCAGTGCAACCATGGTGAGTAGAAACCGGGGTGGGGCACCAAATGCAAGCGCGAACCACGGCGGGGCAAGTACAAGCAACGCACCCTCCGTGAACCAAGGAAGGACTCAAGCGAGAGTGTACGCAATGACCGAGGCCGATGCTCGGGCTAATCCCGACTCCGTCGCAGGTAATACACTTATTCTGGTCATTTCTAGGCTTACTTTGATCATATGCGTCGTTGGGATTGAGTGCGGATCACCCTGGGGTCAAACCGGGCAAGTTAGGCCAAATCGGCTGGAAAACAGCCACTGCCGGCCAGGCACGGCCGCAGGCACGCCGTGCATGGCACCGTGCCTGGAAGGCAGTGGTGCGCCGAAGAAGGTTTGGCCAGGCACGGCCGCAGGCACGCCGTGCGTGGCACCGTGCCTGGAAGGCAGTGTCGCCCCGAAGAAAATTTGGCCAGGCACGGCCGCAGGCACGCCGTGCGTGGCACCGTGCCTGGAAGGCAGTGTCGCCCCGAAGGAATTTGGCCAGGCACGGCCGCAGGCACGCCGTGCCTGGCACCGTGCCTGGGAGGCAGTGGCGAGCAGGAAGAATCCGAGACACGCACGGCCGTGCGTGCCACCCAGGCACGCCGTGCGTGGGCCCCAGAACCCGAAAATCAAATTTTTCCGCTCCGTCCTTTTACGTTTGGACCCCCTATTGATTCCAAACCTTAGTATTTACTTAATAACCTCCTAAGGAGGTGTAAAAACATTAGAAAATGTATCTTACATGGTGTATAAATGTAGGAACATTAAAAATCAATGGTAGGTGTGCGAGGATCCTCATCGATACCGGGGCACAACGCTCATTTGTGAGTGAGGCGTTCGCCGAGGGCCTTGACGTGCCATTGACACCTATGATGCAAACGTTGCTAGTCTCCACACCGTTAGGAGACGATGTGGAGAGAAATCATTACTATCCATCATGTGAGGTGGAAGTGGCGGGTCAACCCTTGACTTGTGATTTCGTACCTCTAAGCATGTTGGAGTTCGATGCAATCCTAGGAATGGATTGGCTTGAGAAGCACCATGCTCGAGTAGATTGTTACACCAAGGTGTTGGAGCTAGAGGATGATCAAGGAAACACGCTATGTTTCGAAGGAGATCGGGAAAAATCAAATGCTTGCATCATATCCGTGATGAGAGCACGGAAGATGATGAGAAAGGGGTGCCACGCATACCTTGCTTACGTGGTGGACGATACGAAGAAAGAAGTTGACATCAAGGATGTACGAGTCGTGTGCAAGTACCCGGATGTCTTTCCCAAAGACCTACCGGGGCTTCCACCCGATAGAGAGATCGAATTTGTAATTGAAGTGGAGCCGGGAACCAAACCCATTTCGATTCCTCCTTATCGAATGGCACCGGCCGAGCTTCAAGAGTTGAAGGTCCAACTACAAGAACTATTGGACAACGGGTTCATCAGACCCAGTCATTCACCATGGGGGGCACCCGTACTCTTCGTAAAGAAGAAAGATGGTACACTAAGAATGTGTATAGACCACCGACAGTTGAACAAGGTCACGATCAAGAACAGGTATCCTTTGCCGAGGATTGATGACTTGTTTGATCAACTTCGAGGGGCTACGGTATTCTCGAAGATTGATTTGAGGTCAGGGTATCATCAGTTGAGGATAAAGGAGAGTGACATACCTAAGAGTGCATTTCGCACTAGATATGGTCACTACGAGTTTTTGGTATGTCATTTGGTCTAACCAATGCACCGGCGGCGTTCATGGACATGATGAACCGTGTGTTTAGTGAATACTTAGATCAATTTGTGATAGTATTCATTGACGATATTCTAGTATACTCCAAAGGTGAAGAGGAACACGAGGACCATTTGAGACTTGTACTCGAACGGCTAAGGGAAAAACAACTCTTTGCAAAATTCTCTAAATGCGAGTTTTGGCTCAAAGAGATTGGGTTTCTCGGGCATGTCGTGTCGGGTTCGGGCATTGCTGTGGATAAAGCCAAAATAGAAGCCGTTGTGAATTGGGAGAGACCCAAAAATGTGAAAGAGATACGTAGTTTCCTTGGCTTAGCGGGATACTATCGTAAATTTGTTGAGAAATTCTCGGTGTTGGCGTCTCCATTAACAAAGCTCACAAAGAAAGGGGCCAAGTTCGTGTGGGACGACAAGTGTGAGGAAGGATTTCTCGAACTAAAGAAACGACTCACCGAAGCACCAGTCCTTGCCCTACCCACACAAGGGATAGGGTATGATATATATAGCGATGCTAGCATTCAAGGTCTTGGGTGTGTACTAATGCAAAAAAGGGGGGTGATTGCCTATGCTTCTGGGCAATTGAAGAAACACGAGGCGAACTACCCTACCCATGATCTAGAGTTGGGAGCGGTAGTGTTTGCACTGAAGATTTGGCGACATTATCTCTACGGGGAGACATGTCACATTTTCACCGATCATAAGAGCCTGAAGTATGTATTCACTCAGAAAGAGTTGAATATGAGACAAAGGAGATGGATGGAGTTGATCAAGGACTATGACTTGATCATCGACTATCATCCCGGAAAGGCCAATGTAGTGGCTGATGCACTGAGCAGGAAAAGTACGTCGGGGACATTACTCACATGTCTACGAACTTTGAGGGCACACGTGGAGGTGTCCGCGAGTGGGGTCCTCATTGCTAGATTCGAGGTTAGGCCTACATTGCTGAGTGAGATCAGTAGATGTCAGGCCACTGATGAAGAATGCCAGAAGATCTGCGAGAGGATCCTTGAAGGGCCCGTTGAGAACTTTCGGGTACGTGATGACGGTCTTTTACTGTTTAAAGATCGTGTATGCATACCAAAGAGTGAAGAGCTCCAAAAGTCTATACTAGAGGAGGCTCATTCTTCGACATATGCTATGCATCCAGGAGGTACTAAAATGTACCGAGACTTGAAGGAAAGTTACTGGTGGTCGGGTATGAAGAGGGACATCACAGAGTACGTGAGTCGATGCCTTACTTGCCAGCAAGTTAAGGCAGAACACCAGCACCCGGCAGGGCTTTTGCAGCCACTGACCATTCCAGAATGGAAGTGGGAGCATGTGACCATGGACTTCGTGGTGGGGCTGCCAGGAACAGTGAACAACTATGATGCGGTTTGGGTAGTGGTTGATAGGCTCACCAAGAGTGCACACTTTTTGCCTATCAACATTACTTATCCTCTTGAAAGACTGGCAAAGCTATACACGGAGGAGATTGTGAGACTACATGGAGTCCCGATATCCATTGTCTCGGATAGGGACCCACGATTCACATCTCGATTTTGGCCCAAGTTTCAAGCATCCTTGGGTACTAAACTGAAGTTTAGCACAGCTTTTCACCCACAGACAGATGGACAATCTGAGAGGGTGATACAGATATTGGAGGACATGCTCAGGGCATGTGCTCTGGAGTTCCAAGGAAGTTGGGACAAACATTTGGCTCTAGTCGAGTTTGCCTATAACAACAGTTATCAGGCGAGTATTGGCATGCCTCCATACGAGGCATTGTATGGGAGGAAATGCAGAACACCGTTGTGTTGGGACGAGGTTGGCGAGGCCAAGCTCGAAGGGGTTGAACTTGTCGAAATAACCAAGGCTAAGGTGAAAGTCATTCAGGATAGACTTAAGGTTGCTCAAGATCGGCAGAAGAGTTATGCCGACAAACGACGAAGGCCATTGGAATTCAAGGTCGGTGATAAGGTCTTCTTAAGGATTTCTCCTTGGAAGGGTATCATCAGGTTTATATCGAGGGGAAAGCTTAACCCCCGATACATTGGTCCGTTTGAAATCCTTGAAAGGGTTGGGGCGGTGGCTTACCGTCTCAAGCTGACGCCGGAACTTGAGAAGATACACGACGTGTTTCATGTATCGATGCTCAAGAAATACGTGAGAGATCCATCTCATATTCTTGAGAGACCACCGGTGGAGATACGTGAAGATCTACAATATGCAGTGGAACTGGTAAAGGTAGTGGGTCAACAGGTGAAGAAATTGAGGAACAAGGAGATTCCTATGGTAAAAGTCCTTTGGAGGAGTGATCGGGTCAAGGAAGAAACATGGGAGACTGAGGTCTCAATGAGAGAGCAATACCCTTTTCTCTTCGATTAGACACGTGGATTTTGGGGACGAAATCCCAAATAAGGGGGGGTGAACTTGTAACACCGTCCCCAAATGTATTTACTTTTAAGTGAATATTGTATTTTAACCCTATGGATTGGTTGACGAATTTACGAGGTTATGAATTTTTATTAATTCTTTTGCGGGAATAGTAAATTCGCATGTGGGGCCCACACCGGGAGCGGGGACCGCCCGATATTTCCGGGACCATTATTTTATTCATCTTGGTCTAGATAATATTTATATGGTGGTGGATATCTCATTTGAGTAATGGGAAGGCCCAGAGTTGACCGATTGGTCAAAAAAGGCCCAAATACCGGTATTGGTAATTTAACCGATAAAAGCCCGAAATTGGATTTCGGAGACCTATAAATTAAAGTTGGGAAATGTATATTCATTTTAAGGGTCATAATGATTGGGAACATGTAATATATCTTATTTGACCCGATAAAATAAAATATATTTAAAACTGTCCGAAAAATACAACTTTCGGGACAAAGTGTACACTTCGGGACAAAAAGGGTTGACCTCCCACATGGGTGGGGGCCAACCCACGAATTTAGCCACATTTTTCAAGGCATGGGTCGGCTGATATGAGAGGGAGGTGGGAGAGAGAGCTGATTTGAGATGTTTGGCATCAAAACAAATCATGGTGGCCCTCCTTTCCTTCACTCATTGCTCAATTGAGACAAATGAGCATTCCTACTCCTCCCCTCCTCACTCATTCGGCCAACACTAAGGAAAAGGAGGAAAGAAGCTCTGCAACTTCATCTTTCATCGCCAAACTCAAGCCAAGCTCAAACAAGAAAGTTGATAGGAAGTTAAAGAAGGAAAAAACTAGCTAAAGGTGTGAAAGTTAAGGTAATGACCCTATCATAACTTCTCCTTTATTTTTCCCTTCTATCATATGAGATACATATCATATGGAGCACCCTTGAGGTTGTTCTACATGCTAAGGGTGTAGAATAATGGGTTGGAGAGTGGTTCTATGTCCAAAAACGGACATAGAGGCCAAACCGACAAGTTTACCGGAAAATAACCTTTTAAGGGTTATGTGTATTGATTAAGGTTTTATGATGTTAATACCTTGTTAGGAACTTGATTTAGAGTATCTTTGAGCTTCGCCGGAGTTTCGCCGGAGTTGGTCAAAGTTGGCCGGAGTTGGTCAAAGTTCACCGGAAATAGTCAAAGTTTAACCGCGGGGCGTAGAACACGCTTAAGCTCACTTAAGGTGAGGATGACCGACTATATTGCTTATAATTATTGGGTTAATTTCATAAGATTACCTAAATGAATTATATGTGTTTGGCATGATTTATTTATAATAAAACAAAATGCCTAAATGAGATTATTATTGTTTATAAGTAAAAGTGCATAATATACAAATTTATGAATAAATTGTGTATGATTATGTATTATGAATACAATGGTATAATAGTGTGTAAACTATAAATGAATTGTGATAAATGTACTTTTACCTCATGTAAGGAAGTCATGGAAGGATAAAAGTGATATTTTGATATTAGAACCAAGTTATACTTGAATGTGGAATTAAATTGAAATAGCCAAATTACTATGAAATTGCATTGGCTTATTAAGGTTAAATGACTAGTATAGAAATACTAGCCGGGAATGTTAGCATGAAAAGTGATAGAACAAATCCTAGGGGTTTGGATTGTGAAAGATGTACCTTAAGTAGTCATACGAAATGTCTTAAGGTAGAAATGAGTAAATGCTAAGTTAGCGTAGGAGTGGACCTTAAAGGTTACTCATAGTAGAGGAACTCTAGGCATAGAGTTTGCTTAGTGAATTAGTATCGTGACTAGAGGAAGCCTCGAGCACGATGAAGAATGACTGGAGGAAGCCTCCAGCATTCGTGTAGGACGACTAGAGGAAGCCTCTAGCGTAACGTAATGTGACTGGAGGAAGCCTCCAGCACAACGTATGTAAGGTGATTAGAGGAAGCCTCTAACACCAAGTGGAGTGACTAGAGTCAGCCTCTAGCACGACAAAACATGACTAGAGGAAGCCTCTAGCATGGTAAACTAATATAGATGGGTGTGGCATGAAGTCACGGGGAAAGGGTTAAATGTTTTCAAAGTAAACATGGGCCTTCGGGCGACTACTTGACTTTATATATATAAAGTAAGTATACTTTCAAAAGAGGGTAACCACGGGTTATGACCTATAATATAATAACATCCTAGATTGAGGGTCTTGGAAATTGAAACTTTGATTATACTTAGTATAGTTGTCATTGTACTTGTCAAATGCTTCCAAGTACTGACCTCCCCTTCACGGGGGAGGCCACCTCACAGTTTCAGGTAGAACTTGAAGGTTGCTACCATCACCGTTGCTTCGGGTGGATTATCAAGGAGAGGAGACGTGGTTCGTGCTTCCTCCGTTTCTGTTTTAAACATTTAAATTAATGCTCATGGATACTATTTTCCGAATAATTATTTAGGGCTTGCACGCCCGTGTTTGCCACGTGTGGCTCGAATGCTTGTATTAATATTTCCGCTGCTTAATTAAATGATTTACATTATGATTGTTTATGGATGTACTAATGTGAATGGTATTCAAGACGCCTTGTATAGTATGGATGAGTTGGACTGCGGTTGACTATTCGTACTGTACGGCGGGTTGTTGACGTGTCCGGGAAGGTCCGGGGCGTGACAGTATTGGTTGAAGTTTTTGTAGAAGACCATTTTAACTATTTTTACACATAACTTTTTATTTATTTCATTAATAAAATATATTTAAAAATAATTTTTTCTTAAAACAGCAGAATCAGCCAATGCAAGCACTTCAGCCGGAACTTCATAAATTTCAGCAGAATTAGCCAAATCAACGGATTTTCGTGCTACCAAACGGGCTCTAAAAATCAAAATCATTTTATCCCGTGCACGGCACGAGTAAAGATACTAGTATTTAATATTCAAAAGTTACATAGTGGGCATCAATTGGACTTGGTAGAGATATCTCGCCCTCTCGTTCTCTCTTGCTGGTGGAGTAGATCAAGCGCTTTCAGGTATGGCCTTACCAGTACAGACGATTCGAGCGCATCGAAGAAAGTGCGGCTGTTCCTCTCCCGCCCTGTGCCGGCGGCACCCTCCAGCCTCTCCGGCTTTGCTGCTTTGCGGCTCCGCCCTTTCTCCTCCACCCCCGCTTGCTCGGCTGCTTCGGTATGTGCTTAATCACTATATCTTCAATATGAATTGAATTTATTGGTTTGTTTATAGCTTTTTAGGTTAAAATCTCAGTTTTGTATTTGTGATACTGTACGTTGCGATGGTTTCAGATTTATATTTTCTTCGGACTAATTTTTAACCTTAAATTCAACTCAATTAGCATATTTTTCTTCTTAGATTCATCTTTACCTGAAATTTCCACTATCCGGAATTTCATTGGATTTCTAATTTGAACTTTTACTCTTACTCAGATTTCATCTTTTATTATTTTTTCTTGAAAATCATATTTATTGATGTTGTTTGCTCTAGAACAAACCCTATTGGCCCCTGTGACCTTGAAAGGGCAAATTCTATCTTGACAGATGACTGAAAGTTGTATCTAATTCACCCCTACTTCATACGCAATAATAATAACTATATATTCCACCTTTAATGAATCTTAGCATTTTTTTGTAACGTGCATCATATAAAAGATACTCCATAGAGTATATCCATAAATATTGCAGCTGCATTTGAAGCAAGAAAGAATTTTAGAAAGAAATTTGGTCCCCCATCCATATACTCGATTTGTGTTCAACTTTGAAGGTATTTGGATGCTAAATTGGATCCTTAAGTTCCTTCTTCTGATCCCTCATGTTTTGGCAGCGAAATTACCAAAATATATTACTATTGTTATTATATAAGGATTAATAGGCTTTGCTTGTAGTTGATTAATTATTATGTCCTTCAATAAGCATGTAACAAACTTGTATGTATATCCCCTGATCGTATTGTGTTGTCTTTATTAGTGGATGTACATGGCTTTGGTTAAATTTCCTGTGAATGTCCATGGAGAAATCTGTTACTATAATTCTATCAACACAAACAAGAGAGCTGGTAAGAGCTTTATTAGAAGACATGGATTTATGGTTAAAATGTGTTGATGTCCGCTATGCTGAAGATTCAGGGAAGATATTAGATGTAGCTCAAAAATGTTACAGCGCATGCCCCTACGGACGAAGAGAGGACTCTAACCTCAATCTTTGAAATGGTTAAACATGATATCTTCCAATTCACCAGGATCCCTTTGATATCTTTTTTCCCTTGTATTAATTGATTCCATATTTATGTTTTATTGATTTCATTCAAATTATAGGTGCATAAGAGATGTACAAGGCCAGAGATCATAGTCAGACTAAGAAGCTTAAATAGGAAATGAGGACACGAGAGACAAACTTGATGGGTTCCGCGTTAAGATGCATCCAATGAAGAAGAGAGTGATCAAGCAAAGTCAAATAATACAATAGATAGATGTAATAAATTATATGCCTGGGATTATTTGCTGGAACATTTGGAAAGTTTATACCAACATTATTTGGGGTGACGGTGATTATTCAACTAATCCTTCGGTTTTGATAAACCAAATTAAGTGGTATACTCAACAATGGGTTTTCTCGTTAAAAGATCCTAAAAGGTCTTCTATACCTGAGGTTTTAACCGTTTTATACGAAGAAAACTTAATCCCCAAAGGCTTTTATTTACCCAGCAGAAAGTTTCAACTAATTAAGTGTATAAAGCCAAAAGAGGGTTTAAAACTGTTGGTCCCGGTTAATCTGGTAACAGTCTAGAGGGGGGGGGTGAATAGACTGTTATGGTTTTTAACTTTTTCCAGTCAAGTACCAAGGTAAACAGAATAGTCTGTTCTGTTGAGAACAGACTGGCAGCGGAGATCTTCTGGTAAGTGTTCTGTCGGGATAGCCTCACAGAAGAGTAAAGGCACTTGGCCTTCTGGTAACTCACTAGAGGTGTTCTGCTGAACACAGATACCACTTCTTAGGAGTTAATCAGTTTGCAAGAAATAAAAGCTGTAAGTAAATAACACCAGGGATTTTTATAGTGGTTCAAGGAACAACTCGTTCCTCTAATCCACTGTTCCACTAAGCTTGTAAAGCAACGGTTACAACGCCTTAGTCTGTGACACTCTGAAAATTTAAATAAAATAAAATAAAATAATAATATTAATGAGATCAAATAAAACTTTGACATATAAGAAGAGTGACATTTTGAAAGATTATTAGTGAAATAATATATACATATGCTTATAGCACACCTATATAAGACCCACCTAATATATATGATTCGAAGTATACATACACTACTTACATATATACATAACGATATAATATAATAATAATAATAGTGTAAAATTTTGACTTTCCAATAGGACCAATACTCATGTAAACCCATGCGTAATTAATTAGGTATAGGAATTTTGGGCCGATCTTCACATTGTACGAGCGATATGAAACATACGAAACCCTAAAGCCTGGAACCTTCCCGTGTGCGTATATATATGTACCTCGTTGCGATCGAAAATCCGCTTACTATACAGACCATATACGTACGATGATACGAAACCGAACATTTAAAGCATACGTCGTACAAGACCAAGATGCTGCTGCTAAATGATCGCATCTGCGTCGCAAGAGAACAGCAGAGAAAGGAAGAGGACAGCGGGAAACTTGCCGGAGAAGAAGACCCTGCCGGAGTCGTTGCCGGACTGGTTTCACGCCGGAGGAGAAGAAGATGATGTTGCCGCGATCGGACTTGACTGCTTCCACTGAACGTCGATGCCTATCACAAACCTATTTCCGTCCCCTGCCGTCAGAATAGAAACTCTTTCGCCGGTAGGAAGAGAAAGAGAACGCCGGAGTACTAAAACTGCGATGCCGAAGTTGGGAACGGAACTGAGTTGACTGGACCTCGCTGCTGCCGTTGACTACTGCCACGCCGGGAAAAGAAAAGCTTCGTTGACCGACTGCTACTTGTCGAGAAAGGGAAGGAAGGAGCATCGTTGCCGTTGGTCGTCTTCAGACTGCTACAGTACTCGTACGTAACTCCTACTCCGTATTATATTTATCATTTTGCACTGAAGGTTTTAGCTTGGCCATTGAAATGTTTGGCACTTTGGCCGGACTGTCTTAGTTAAACGAATGGACTAAATTCTAAAATTTATCAAACTTAATATACCATTATTATGAATGATTATATATATGGACTAATTATTGGAGTATATAAATAAAAGTGATTAATCGGGAAAGAGATAAATTAATACCATGAATTTGATATTAATTAACAAAGAATAATTGTTAATTAATTCCATAATTTTAATATTTAGAAGGTGAATTTGGAGAAGATCGAGATAAATGATCGGTTAGGAATTATCGCGATTGAGGTAAGTTCCACGACAACCAACATTATACTTTTACTCGTGAATCTATGTATGATTATTCATTTGAAATTATTATCTGAGTATTTATGAGATTTCTTGAACTTACATTTATTTTGAGTATTTGGAATTATGTATGAATTGTTATTGAGAAATTATATTTGAGATTTGAGTATTTGATATTGGATGATATTTTGAGTATCTGTTGGGATTAAAATTGAGATTTGAGCTATTTATGAAGTATTCTATATTTTGGCTCTCTTGTGAAATTTTAATGTATGGTACATTTGAGTGTAATTTGTTGGAGTTAATATTTTACATTGTGGATTATTTTGTGGAGTTTGGATTTCATATCCGTTTTTGTTGAGGTTGTGATATTGGTTTGGAACTTTGACATGAATTGTGATTTTTGGTGAGCACCCGGAGAAATCTGTGGTGTCGGTTTGCCACATCCGGATAAATGTGGTATTGGTGAGTGGTAATGGCTATAAGTCTAAATCCACCAGGGGTACTCCCCAAAAGTGGAGTATCCCAGCTTAATTGTAGTGTAGTTGGTAGAAAAATCCCGACTACTCGGGCTTCTTACTTCCCGGAGGGCTTGGAATCCCTTTTAGGGGGTGTGCACACTTAAGGTAGGAGTTCGGCTTCCACTAGCTTTGATTGGGTTTGAGGTGAATTGGACTTTGATTTGATTGAGGTGATTGAGTTTATTTGATTGGCTTGAGGTTAATATTATTTGATTGGATTTGTGGTGGAATTGAATTATTGGATTGATTGGAATTGTTGGATTATTGGATTGGATTATATTTGGATTGAGTTGTTAAATTATTTGTGGGTTTTACTTTTGGATTTGATTTGGTTTGATTATGTTGAGTACTCTTTATTATCAGCATTTATAAGTATTTTGAGATATTTGGTGTTTGATTTATGCTTTGGAATTATTGTAAGGATTTTTGGTGGTTTTACGTATATTTGGTATTTTTGTAATTTTTGTGGTTGGGAAATATTTGCTTATATTTGAAGTACTATTATTTTACTAGTGAATTATGCTATGAGAAGATTTTATAAATTGTTTTTAAAAAAAAAATATTTTTCCTCCTAAATGTTTTTTTTTCAAAAACATTAAATTTTATTATTTATTTTATGAGGTT